GCACTACATGAGATGTGTTCAAAGGTGAGCAAGACAGAACACCTGAAGTGACTCGATTAATGAGGTGTAGAGTCTGAACACCTGAAGTGACTCGATTAATGAGGTGTAGAGTCTGAACACCTGAAGTGACTCGATTAATGAGGTGTAGAGTCTGAACACCTGAAGTGACTCGATTAATGAGGTGTAAATGAATTCAGTCATACAGAACTAGTATGATAGTATAATAGTCGTATTGATCTTTAAGCAGCTACAGTAAAGGTGTGTCCATACAGTAGGGGGCCTTGCAGCACATTTCTGYCAATCAGAGGCTGTTTTGATACTTTCCTACAGATGATGACTGAGAAGACGCTAATGAGGCCATCCCGCTCTCTGACTATGGAGAGTATCTCACCTGAAGACCTGCCCAGACAAGGTGASTCACCTGTTTTCACTCCGATCAGCTGATCAGGTATTTGAACCATCCAGTACTGATTACTGCTTCCTCCTCCAGTGGAATTTCTGGAGGCCGTGCGGCAACAGGTCCAGAAGTTCGAGGTCCAGTACATTGGGAACYTGCCAGTGTCCAGAGCAATGGGTAAGGACAGAGACACACCTGTTATACCTGAGTCCATCCTCAGAGGGTTCTAGTAGGACATTCTGTGGTTATCTCCAACTGATGCTCAGTCAGGAACCCATCACATCAGGGTTCTCTTAGGGTCTGGGATTCCCCTCAGGACCAGGGAATCTCTCTAGATAAGGGTTCCCCTCTTRCCAATAGGTACTCTAAGACCCAGGGTTCTCTTCTGGGTTAAGGGACCCTAAGGCCCAGGGCTCTTCCAAGGCCAAAAGTTCCCTTCTACATTAAGGGTATCATAAGACTTAGGGTTCTCCTGAAGCCCAGGGTTCTGCTAAGACTCAGCACCGCCGTCTGGGCTAAGAGTACGCTAAGGCCCGCCCTCAAGGCCCAGGGTTACCCTCTAGATTAAGGGTACCTTAAAGCTCAGGACTCTCTTAAGGMCCAGGTTTCCCCTCTGGGCTAAAGGCACCCTAAGTCCCAGGCTTCTCTTTTGGGCTAAGAGTGCCCTAAGGCCCAGGGCTCTCCTAAGGTCTAGGGTCCCCTCTCTGACCTAAGGGTACCCTAGGCCCAGGGTTGTTCTGAAGGTCAGGGATCTCAGGGCAAGGAATAAACAGYATCTTGGGAACTGTTCTGGGATGCATTGTTGCAGATTTTTGGCCTTATTATATTTCTTCTTATGGGAGAAAGAAAATCTAAATTTAGACTGAAAAAAAACAACAGAGCATCTATAAACCAGTAGTTCCTCTGCAGTCAGTGACCAGAAGAGGATAATCACATGTAGACCAGTTTCCTGAGTACTGGAGAGGGACGGTGAAGGGGAYCCTCTGAATCTGAAGTATATTTTTGAAAGATGAATAAGGTGATGAGTTGAATTATTTTATAACCCTGATGGAAACCCACCTAAAGGAGGTCCTCTGTGTGGCTGAGTGTTCCCAGGAGTACGCAGATGGAACCAGATCAGGACTGGGGTCTGAAGTTCTGCATCTCATTCAGATAAAGGTATGTTTTGCTGCAGGTATGGAGGTGTTAAACAGAGCCATAGAAAGCATCATGAACTCAACAGACCAGGATGACTGGGAGCCGACGGTGATCCATGTCACAGATAAAGTCCTGTCTCTGTGGAAGGGGGAGGTAATGTCCTCATCACAGTGATGCTCAGGTCAGAGTTCATCGCTGCTGTTTTTAATCCACCTGCTCTGCTCCTAGCAGGACGGTGATGAGCCCCTGTGGGAGTGTCAGGTACGCTTCCTCACCTTCCTTGGTGTCGGCCATGACAGCCACACCTTTGCCGTGATCGTTGATGGCGGCACACAGCAGTTTGARTGTCACGTGTTCTGGTGTGAACCTGATGCAGGAATCATCTCCGAGGCTGTCCAGGCTGCGTGTATGGTGAGGAGAAACAATATGTAGTTACCTTACAGGAAATGGTTAAAAACATTAGACTGTGCAGGTTTTCATTTGGTTTCTATGTTCCATGTCTGCAGAATTAACTCCAAAGTTATTCTGTCAGGTTCAGTTTGTTCTGCTGACTCGTTGTGCTGTTACCTGTCTAGGTCTGGTGTTTTATGCATTTCAAACTAAAAAAGGACTTGTTTACAGAAATGTCTGTTAAAACATTTTCACATTTTTCTACCTGGTTGAGTCTAAATGTTGTCRCCCCCTGCTGGTGGCTGACCTCAGTCCTCTTCTCCCATCAGGTCCAGTACCAGAAGTGTCTCGTGGCTCAGACTCCACCTCCCAGAACCAAATCCTGGTGTGCGACCCAATCAAAAGTCAAACGAGCCAATTCGATGGATGGAGCCGCCTTCCCTCCACTCACATCTCGTTACCATGGCAGCAGTATTGGTGGCAGCAGCACTGCCTTGATGACGACTTCAAAGAGCAGCAGTGTCAGGAAGGGTATGATGGCGTTTTTTGAAACTTTCCGCAACAAACAAACTGCTACCTCCTAATGATGGGGGCGGGGCCATCACAGTCATCACCAGGCCAGTATCTGATTGGCTTGTGGCTCAGATAGTCTGACATTATGGTCCATGGTCCTGTAGAGGCTCACCTGAGCCGGAGACGTCAGCCTCACTTTGTGGGCACTGCAGAACTTGTCAGCATGAATGAATGTCTGCAGATCAATCAGAGCAATCAACACTGATNTCAGCATGAATGAATGTCTGCAGATCAATCAGAGCAATCAACACTGATCAGTAATTGGACCCTGGATCAATACCTGGATTATAGATCAGTAACCAAAACATGGATCAATACCTGGACCATTAATCAATACCTGGATCATAAATCAATAAACATACAATGGATCAATACCTGGGACATAGATCAGTAACTGGATCGTGGATCAGTACCTAGATCATGGATCAATAACTAGATCATTAATCAGTACCTGGATCATTGATCAAAAACTGGATCATCGATCAGTAACCGAAACATGGACAAATACCTGGACCATAGATCAATACCTGGACCATAGATCAATAACTGGACCATAGATCAATACCTGGACCATAGATTAGTAATTGGATCATAGATCAGTAACTGGACCATAGATCAGTAACTGGACCATTGATCAGTAACTGGACCATTGATCAGTAACTGGACCATAGATCAGTAACTGGACCATAGATCAATACCTGGACCATATATCAGTAACTGGACCATAGAGCAATACCTGGACCATAGATCACTAACTGGACCATAGATCACTAACTGGACCATAGATCACTAACTGGACCATTGATCAGTAACTGGACCATTGATCAGTAACTGGATCATAGATCAGTAAGTGGATCATAGATCCATACCTGGACCATAGATCAGTAACTGGATCATAGATCAGTAACTGGACCATAGATCACTAACTGGACCATTGATCAGTAACTGGACCATAGATCAATACCTGGACCATAGATCAGTAACTGGATCATAGATCAATACATGGACCATAGATCAGTAACTGGACTATAGATCAGTAACTGGACCATTGATCAGTAACTGGACCATAGATCAGTAACTGGATCATAGATCAGTAACTGGACCATAGATCAATAACTGGAC